TGGCCCTGGGCTAACATCTGTGCCCATCTTCCTCTACTTTATATGGGATGCTGCCACAGCATGGCTTGACAAGTAGTGCATCTGCACGCGCATGGGATCCGAACCTGCGAATCCCAGGCCTCTGGCGGCAGAGCGCGTGCACTTAACTGCTATGCCACCAGGCCAGCCCCACGATCAACATTTTTAAGAACTCTTTATATAAACTTCTCTAATACAGGGTAAGGATCCATAGAGGCTTGTTTTAGTTGCCCATTCTTCTTACATTCTGAATTCCTTTCTTTATTTTGAGCACAACAGAGAATAAGTAAATCTGAATACCATATTTCTTTTTTTAGAACTAGTGAAAGCCAAAGCCATCTAGTGTTCTAGGAACAAGGAATTAGCTAAGATGAACATGGATGTATACACAATAATTCCAAGTTTGTACATCTGCGCTGTGGCAAGTGGGGTTATTCACTGATTTTGAATTGTTTTTGTTTTTATCCACATCCTAGGAACAAAATCCAATGCACATCAAGCCAACATGACCTGCATTTTCTTTGTAGGGAATGTTACCGCCAATAACAATGAATACCCCAAGATACTTTATCTTAAGTAGCATACAAGCAAATGTTATTTGAAGTGCCAATTTGGCATCAATTTAGGGTAATTTTATCTTGCCAAGATAATTTTTTCCCAAGATTACAATGCACTGAATAACATGAAGAGGAATTTTTAATATTTTAAAAAAGCATTGCTGTTTGAAAATCAGACCTCTATATATATACAAATGAGGTATTTTTTCCAATGAAATTAATTATTTTTAAATATTCGTCTTCTATAATTTCTTTCAAATAAGTTTAGAATTTGAAAGCTATGATAAATATTCAATGTATTTTGAAGTTTTACAAACTATCTAAGTCAGAATACACTGGATTCATGAATGTCTATATTGAACTGTTTTGCATTAATGAAGGAGAACATCATAAATTAAGAAAGAATAGCTATAGTATATGATGTAATTCACAGACATTCTTGTCAAATAGTATGAATGCAAATTCCAACTTCAAACATCTGGAAGTTATGTGAACTGAAGAGTTATTGAAATTCTTTATGTTTTAGTCTCCTCATCTTTAAAATGAGTATCATAAGATCACCTATAACAAAGAGTTGTGAGAATTCTTAACACAGTGTCTCACACATACTAAGGGCTCAATAAATGCTATCAACTATTATTATCTTTTATATTTGTTTTAAATCAAGCAGGCTGATAGTTCTCCTAGGAAGTATACGAGGACACACTCTCATTCTCCACAGCTCATTTCTTCCTTGGCCATCCTCAGAATCTGAGGGATAAAGGTGAGGAGAAAACTGTGGTGCTACACTTAAAATCACCATTGATCAACCAATATATCAGATATGTCCTAAACGCATTCATAGCATCAACAGGGCTATGCAAAGCAAATCAGATCCATCACTCCTATACAAATTGATGTAGTAGACTAGTCTAACAAAGACACTGGAGATCACTAAGGGCCACAGAGTACATTCATAGTTGTCACATGAAGTTTGACAACTCCCACATTAATCTGAAGACCACTGCTCTATGTTATTACTGACGATTTATTAACCAAGCGTGAGCAGCAACTGACACATTACAGATCATGCAATCATTAGTTTAGGAAAGGCATCATAGTCTTCAGATTTCTTCAAGTTCAAGATTCTAATTTCTTTTCAAGTGTGAAAAGAAGCACTAGAAACAAAAACCTGAACAAGTTAAATAAAAATGTCCTTCTTCGGAATGTTCTAGTATAAAATGAGTCATTTAATTAATAAACATTTATTGAATGACTGGGTATTGAACTACACTTGAGGGTAGGAAAATACTGGAGAAATAGCAAGCAAGAAATCTGTAGGACTGGTAAACCAGCAAAGGAAAGAAAACAGATACACAAAGGAAGTGAAGAGAGAAGACATTTAGAGTAAATGGGAATAACCAGTAGCTAGAGGTACAGCCAATTCAGAGGCTCCTTTCATTGATCAAAGGATATTTTTAAAATATATTAATTACTTTTAACCTATGCTATAATTCTGCAACCAATACTAAAGGTGTACAGGCAACTTAAGTCAGAGAACTTCTTTTGAGGAATAAATCAGAGGTAGTAAAGTGTACTTATACAGTTGTAGGCCTTGGTGTCAAACAGAACTAAGGATGACTCTCCCTTTTTTTTTTTTTTTTTTTACTATTACCTTGGGCAAGTTATGTTAACTCTATTAAGACTCAATTAACTCATCCGTACAATGAGAATGATAATAATACCTACATCATGTGATAAATTGATGCAGGTGAAGGGCTTAGCACAGTACTAAGCACTTGGTACATTAGCCCATGTGCCCTGAGAATTACCTACTATTATGATGAAGGCTAATTGGAAATTAAATGTAACAAATAGTAGGAAAGAAGAATCCACCATCACTTGTCTTGGTTTTGGTCTCAAGAAGAATTTTCCAAATCCCACTAAACCCTCTTGACCCCTGAGAAGTGTGACTGGAGCCTTCCTTGAATTATAATGTTGAGGTCAGTAGCCTTTTCCAAAGGCAGCATGGCCCTCCCAAGGATACTGTCTGTTATATGTCCAAGTGATGCTCTGCGCATTCTGCTTATTGTCTATAGAAACGAGGCTTGTAAGCTACCGTATGAGATCACAACTCCAAGAAAAGTCAGAAGCTGAAATCTAAGTCCTCTTGGGAATTCTTTTCAAAAGCACCAAGATCAAAATCCTTAACAACACTTAAGAGTTTCATGAAAGGAGAGTAAACATTTGCAAAAAAGGAGTGCTGGCCATGTTTACATCTTTACACCTCACTCACTGAGGTAGCCATACCCAGCAGAAATAGGTACCATGCCCCTCTGTGCTCAAGTTGAGTTCACAAGAATTTCAACACCTAAGGAAGATTTAGGGGCATATATCAAACTTTTCTGACCATTAGAATCATTTGGGCTTCATTACTGATCAGAAGAGGCATGGACATAAGGCAGAAAAAATAGCTTATACCCTAGGATCAGGAATAAACCTTGCTAAGGTCACTTTCTCTGCCTCCATGGTGGTCTAGATGTTAGACTTGGCTTATCCACTTGGACCTTTATTACCCACACCTTCTGATCTAATAGAGCTTCCTGAACTTCATCCATTCACTCATTTGATCACAAAATACATATAAGGAACTATGAACAATTATAAAAGCATTGTGTGTGTACACACATACACACATACATTAAATAATCAGGCTTCCGGGAGGCTACAGTAGTGGCAGCGACAGGCAGGTAGACAGATAGAAATACAACACTGTAGTTTCCCTAATGGTGATAACCAATGGGGAAACCTGGCATAGAAGGGAAAAGTGGGTACTTTAATCTTGAGTGGAAAGGATGTGTAATGGGCAGGCAGGAAAAAATAAGCCATTTACATTACAGAGAATTTATCTGTCAGACATCTGCTACTTGAACTCTGAGTCCTGGGTCCTTTGCATCATAGCAAATCACTTGCAGGCCACAATCTAGAGAAAAGATTTCTCTTTTGATGCTTAAGTATTTAAAGCACTATACTAGTGGGAAAGGTCTTTCCATCAGGAAAGGGAGAGGCATTTACTACTGATCCTTCTTGTCATATACTTCTACCTGAACTGAATTGTTTAAGAGGAGTGGCAATTCAATACTTAATTACATTGTATTTATTAAACTTGAAATATTGTTGTCTTTACTGAAGGAAAATTGTACTCCCAGGTAAAATTAGTTCAAATATCTCCAGAATAATCTCATCATTGGGCATTGTTTAAAATTTAGTCACCTCAAGCTTTGGGCAGAAAGCTCTCAGAGCAGCTGCCTGGGACAGCTGGGTGTTCTTGTTCAAGAATGATGGGGAAGCAAGTGTTTGAGCTAAGCCATTCAGACAAGGGCTCTCAGACAAGAACAGTCACCAGGCAAGTGGGTGTGGTAGGGTGGCCTGGAACCCTCCAAAAATCTCTGTGAAGCCTGAGGTCACGTTTTCCTATTCATAGTGTCTAGCAACGTACATAACAGACAGACTTGAGTTTAGCTAGTTCGTCTTTCTCTAATTACTACACAGGCTGAGTCTTGGAAAAGAATCACCAAAAAGGGGAGAAGAGTTACTAATTGCTTTCCCCTGTTTTCTGATTTTCAATTCTAGCAGCATGAAAAGGAATGACCTGACACAAAATGTAGAATTATCTGAGAATTTAGCAAAAGAAACAAAGAAAGAACATGTATGAATTCTCAGTGTGTCTCACAGTTACATTTTTTAAAGGAACTGCTGTTAATGTGGGATGGTTAGGCAGCCCTCTTAGGCTGCGATGATGACTAAAATCAGCAGATTATTAAGTATTACTAAATGGCTGGTCTTTCTGCCCCCATCACCTCTAAACTCTGATAGTCAAACACGCTGTGATTAGTTTGTCTTCTTTTCAATTATGATATGAAGAGGGCAGGGGTTGCTGACCTTCTGATAAGAAATGATAATGTTCTGTCTGGAAAGACTAGATAAACCACGGAGCCTGCTACTTTAGATCTGTCGGCGCTCACCTTCATCAAGGACACCCACATCACTTTCCCTAGCTGCTCCCAGTCAGAGTTCAACTCTAATAGTTGACAAGAAAGGGTAGAAAGAATTTCTTTCAAGAGGTCATGATTTCCAGGAAATGGGGGTTACATGATAGAAAACTAGAAGGGCTCTATTAGCCTGCTGTCCTGCAATGGTGAACTCTTCAATTCAGATACAGAGCTCAATTTACATGCACATGAAGGAGCAGAGAGGGTGGGCAGCAACAGCTCAGCTCAGCCAACATTCAGACAATGCGCTCTAGATGTCAAGCCCTGCACTAGTGGCCTGGGATACGCAGATGAAAGAAACATGGAAATAAAATTTCACTATACTCAGGGTCCTGTAAGAGCACAGAACTGGGGCCTCAGGCACTGGGCCGTCAGAGGAGCCTTCCTGGAAGGAAGGATGAGGAGGATGCATCCAGGGAAAACAGCATGAGCCAGGCCAGGGGCTTCACACGCCATGATGCCTGTACAGAGAGAAGCACTATGACAGGCTATCTTCCTGCCCTTGCTATGGACACTCATAGGACTCTTTACTTCCCTTTTGATAAGATTCATAACACTATAATTATATGTTCCACGTCTGTGTAGTGAAGTCACTAATTTAACAACTCTAGGCCAGGTCGCCCAACATGTATGAGGACCAGTGTTAGAATACAAGAGGGGGCACAAACCACAAGTCTAAAGAGTTAAAAGTTATAATTGAAATTAACAAACATGTAATAGATCAGTTCTATTCTCCTACCTTAATATATATGTCTTCATAATGAGTTGGAAAGCGAGGTTCCAATAAAAATTGAGATGTCTTGAAGTTTCAGGTTGGAACGTGGCAGCACAGGGATAGCAGGCCCAGCCCTGGGTCTCTGGTCTGACCCCCTTCTCTTCTCACTCACAGCTTGAATCTGTGAGTCCCCTAGGTTGGACCTTCTTGTATTTGTGAGTGAGCACTGCAATCAATCCCTCAATGCTCAATTCACAAATCGGGCACCCCTTGTCCACCCGTCAGGCCTAGGGTGTACACATATGCAGTGCAAACTTTCCTCAGAGGTCAGATTCAGAAAACAGGTACCTGGAAGTCCTTGAAGTTGGCTCAGAGTCATTTGGGCATGAAATTTCAGAGTCTTGAAGGCTAGGCAGAGTTTGGATAGGGGGACGGATACGAAAGCATGGGCTCCAGTGGGGATCCTCATCCATGGGAAGGAACCGAGCTGGAAGAAGGCCAGAGAAGGGCCCTCCAAGGCACGGAGGCCATGGCAGGCCACCTCTTGCTGGGTCTAAGGGCAGAACTCCATTCCACTCCAATTATTTCATTGTAGACTGATGTAATCATCCTTAAGAGCTCACTTCCTAGCAGGCAATCAGGAAAGGTACAAATGCCAATTAATGCTAAGTTTCAGCCATTTTAATTAATTTCGTTCCTGTTTAAAATAATTCTTTTCAGGTGAATGCACAGTCTTGCTCTTTCAGCCACTTCCTTGTCTCCTCTCCACAGGCACCTGCCTGTGGCAGCCAGCAGGGGTCTTGGATCTGCATGAAGGTATTTCAGAAGCTCTCTGGGCCTTTGCCAGCATCTGTGATAAGAGTAGCCCTTGTCCACTTGGTATCTGCTTGCCCTGGTGACACCCACTGCTGAAGTCTCATCTCAGGCTGAAAGACTCATGATCGACTCCCTCTCAGCCTGATCAGGGGCCATCATCCTCTAGCCGACGAGATCTCACCCTACCTTGGTACCTGCTGGTGTGGAATATCCCGCCAGGACCATGTGATCAGTGCCCTGGGAGATCCAGGGTAGGTTCTCCTGTTGAGCATGCCAGGTGGCACCATCAGCTCCTACACGCTCCTTGGGGTATGCTGGAGACTTCTGGAGACTCTCTGTGGCACAGGAAACTCAGGGAGCATCTAGGGAGCCATTAAGGCCCTCCTTCTGAAGTGGCCCCCTGTAGGGTGTCTCTTCCCAGAGTTTCAAACAGAACATGGAACAGAAACACCTCAGCTTTCTTCTTTTTCCTTAGCCAAACTCTCCACCTCTAGAATATCAGCCCTGAATCAGAGGAAACCATGACACACATTCCTCTGCTTACCCTGCCCCTCCCCATCTCTTCTCTTTTCCTTCCCATCACCCACCTTGGCAGGAAGAGGGGAGCTTTTCCTTCTTCCTGTCAGACGGAGACTTCTTCTGCATTGCATCCATCTCCCATCTAAGGTGGCATTTATCCTGTCCCTTTCCCTGAAGCCATAGTGGCAGACAGGATGCAGAGAGAAAAATCTGATGGGATTAAGGATATAAATTCAGAAGCATTTTAAAAATATTAAGCCTGCTATACACATGCTTCACCACTAGGTGCAGAGACCCAGGAGAGCTGAACCTGTGGCTGGCTTGTGAACCCAGTTGTCTCCAATGAGTGACTAATAATCATTAAGGTGCCACTAAATACAGTAGATGGATTCTTTGAAGCCCACCATGGAGTAGGAGAGAGGGGTCATTGGACAATGTGTGTGAGGCAGAAGTAGGTGTCTGGTGCTTAGGGCTTAGATGCTCTGCTGGACAGCCCAACACCACTGGTTCTTTAGTAACAGGAAATACTCATAAGATTTTTTTTAATGCTAATTTGTTTCCAGGGTATTATTGTTTTCCTTTTGTCATCATAACAAATTACCACAAATTTAGCAGCTTAAAAGAACAGAAACTTGTTTTCTTACAATTCTAGGAGTCAGAAGGCTGAAATGAGTTTCACCAGGATAAAGTTAAGGTGTCAGCAGGGCTGGTTGCTTCTGGAGGCCGTGGGGAGAAACAGGTACCTTGCCCTTTCCAGCTTCCAGAGGCTGCCTACATCCTTCACTCCGAGCTCCTTCCTCCATCTTCAAAGCCAAGAGTATAGTATTAACACACCTCTAACCCTCTGCTTCTATCATTACCTTGCCTCCTGCCTCCCTCTTATAAGGCCTGTTGGATTAGATTGGACCCACCTGGGTAATCCAGAATAATCTCCCCACCTCAAGATCCTTAACTTAATCACATCTGCAAAGTCTCTTTTGTCAGGTAAGGTAAGATACAGGTCCCAGGGATTAGGACTCGGGCATTTTAGGGGGCCATTATTCAGCCTACAACATGAGGCAAAGGTATTTCTTCCTAGCTCTGAGGCATTGCTTCATCCACTAGACAAGAACTGGGCCTACCTCATCTACTCCCAATAATAGGAAGAAAAGCATATTTGACACGATCAGGGTTACCATGACTCCCCCATTCTCTGCTCTCACAACAGGTTTGTTTTGTTTTGTTTTAATTCATTGGTTTTTCAATCATCCTGCCTGGTTTCCCTCAGCTGCCCTTAGAACTACTCTCCCCACACTCTGTTGGAGTGTCCTTAGGGAAAACAGACAAGTGGACTTATTTCTTACTCAAGACCAAGCATAATTAAGCAGGTACATCTACATTAAACAAAAGTGCAGTTCAATGACAAATACCAGTATTTGGGTCAGTCTGGGCCATGTAAATTGCAAAGCCACTTTCCCCCATCCAACTATCATGCTTCAGTTGTTGGCTTCGTGAATGAATGAAGGGAAAAATCTCTTCAGAGAAATACTGGAATTGAGAAGAGAGTGAGAAAAGCTAGAAGAAATAGAAAGTTCTATATCTGGGAAAAGAAGGCTAACTCTATGCTTTCTTTCACAGCAAGCATGTCTTGTTGACTCTACTATGGGGATGTGCGATGGCAGCCCTGAGCCACGCCCACATTCCACCCCATGCTCAAGAGCCAAGAGCTGGCCAGGGTTAGGATGCACATCAATAAGGTTACTTGGATGCTGCGTGGAATCGAGTCTTCGCAGCTTGTCTTGGTTAGTTACTCTGGCTGCAGAGAAAAGGGAAAGATGGCTCTAATCCTCTCCCCAAGCAGCCAGCACTGGTGTGGGACAGGGCCAGAAGTCCTGGTAGCACAAGGAGGAACAGGAAAGGTGCCACCTAGCATAGCATTTCCCAGGCACAGAGACTGGGGTCACCCGGGCCAGCTTCTCCACTCAAGCAAGGATCAAACACAGGCCCTTCCCCTTTGGACTTCCATCGCCTGAGCTGAGCCGCCAACCAGTCCACATACACTAATTCACTCAGTGGATGTCCTAGCAATTCCATCTCTCTGACAATTTTAAGTAGTAGAGAAGACATTTTTACTTGCTGTTATCCAAATGAGTCGATTTGGAAATAAGAGCCAGTTCTTGCCACATCCCAAGTGCTTTCATCTTCCCTTTGTATTTTCTCCCTGTGCAGAGCACACTGTAAAGGAGCACAATATGTGGAAGTCCCATTCTTCAAAACTAGCATTTGAATAAAGTGTGTACTTATTATAACATGCTGACTGACATATATGCAACTTTTGAGTGTAGCAGCGTGAGTCGTGGAAATTGAATTAAACAATAAACCCGTAATTGCTTGTTAGGGTGCTTTAACTGACTCATAAGTACCATATGCAAAGCTGCGTGGCTGCAGGATCCCAATTATAAACTTGCTTATGGAAAGATACAACTCATTTTGCATATTGGAAACATATTCTCCAATTATTGTTGCTCTCAAAAAAAAAACAATTTTCAAATAAATAAGAAATGTTTAGTAAGCTAATAATGTATACTTAGTCCATAGGTAACCCTGAAGCACTTTATTTAGGTTCTAACACAAGATCAGAAAATGCACAGTTAAAAACGCCCATTCATTTTACTTCAAGGCATTTGTTAAGTCCTGGAGCTCTCTGTGTTCACAGCTAACCAAAGACATGTACACAGAGAGGGCTCTTGGCTTCCAAGGTATTTGCCCCCTAACTGAGAAACATTGACAAGAATAAATATTTCAGGAAAACAAATAAAATAAAATAAATTAAAAACAATTCACAAATTAGATTAAAAAAAAAAAAAAGAATAGCTAATACATGTGAGGATTACAAAGGAGGAAGAAGGGAGATCTTAAACTCCGGCTGCTGATCTGCTGTGGCAAATTCCAGAAGGGAATGCTAGGCATCGTGGTCAAGTTACCCAGCCATGGTTGGAGGCAAAGTGATCAGGCTCAGCTGTGGGCCTTGGGGAGTGGGTGGTGGGAGTGGGCAACATAGGAGATGCAAGTCGGCTACTTAGAAAAATCAGAACATCAGGAGGTTCCAGATAAGTAGGGTGAGGACCTTCAACAACTAGAGTGGAGGAGGAGTAATCAGTAATTTAGGATTTAGTAATCCTAAATCCAAGGAAGAAAAGCATTAAATTGTCCTTTTCTAGGACACAGTGTAGCCTGACGATGATGTTTGCGTGATCACAAGTGGTCCTGGAGTAGCTTTAGACCCCACATGATCTCCATTAGCTACAATGAAACCACCCAAAATAAATATGTAAGTACAAAGAGTAGCTCGCTTGTTAACAAAACTGTAAGACAAACATCTTCATCCCCAACCACTCCCTCCCCTAAACTAGACCAAAAATGTATATGCTCTGAATAGAGAGGACATGCTATGCAAACTCAGCTTTAAAACTTCCTAGCCACTCCTTCCATTTAGATTGCCTCTCTGAATCCTTCTTCCTATAGAGAAATATTAAAACCTGTATTGAAGAAAACCATTATAAATGCATATAAATCATCACATTCAGCAAGACATTTGGCAGCAATCACTCTAAATTAAGTCACGACAGTGAATACGAAGAAGCCAACATTGCAACAAGCCTTTTATACATCAGTGATCCTCCTCCTGATTTTATAACACCTTAGAGTAGTTCCATTTATCTCAGTTGAATTTCTTCCACTAAAAATAATTCAATGGGGCATAACTACTAGAAATAACTATTTCTTTTTGGGGTGATGAAAATGTTCTGGAATTTGATTATGGCGATGGTTGCACAACTCTGTGAATATACTGAAAACTACCAAATTGTACCTGTAGTGTGTTTTATCTCAATAAAGCTGCTATAAAAAACTCATAATGTAAATATTCATAATCTCAAACAAATAAATGTAATTTTAGAAAAAGAGCTAAGAAATCATGTCACAAAATCATGTCAATTAGATGCTTCATTTCTAGAAATCCTAGGAATCATAAGCATTTACCAGCTAGCAAAGAAATTCTTCTCCAAAAAGTTATGCTCAAAACCATTTATAACTTTTATAAATAAGGGTGTGCCTACAAATAATAAATTAAGATTTTATCATTAATGCAGTTCTTTCACAAGTTTCTGACCTGCAAAGTTTTATTTTTAAATTTGGTCTTCCATTAAAAAAAATAAATACACTCACCTAGACTTTCTGTGGTGCCATATTTATCAAACTAGAACCTGCAGAACACTATTTGGAGGATACAGTCAGTTGAACTATGAAACACAGCAGTAATATAAGACAGAATTTCTGCCCTAAGAGGGCTCATAATCTATACAGGATACTCAACTTCCAATATGTGGGAGGAAAAAAATCCCACTAAATATATAAATATCTATGAACCACCTGCATTTAAATGTATTCAGAATACATAATCATTGCATGGTGGTGAGAGTTAATTTCTTACTAAATGTTATAAAAATCTGTGAGGTAAGAAATCATCTAACTCCCTTCATGAATGTGTGTTCTTTTTCTTCTTTCTACATATGGCCTCATTAGAGGTGGAAACTAATGACGAGATGCTTTCTAGTATTTCCAAGTCAATTTTTCTCACAGACACTATAAAGACATCACATCAGATTCCTTCAGAAATATCTCCCACATCTAAATTCTGTGTCTTATGCTGAATGAAGTCCTCAATTCAAATTGTATAAAAGTTTTTTGATGTTTCTTTTATATATTTGGAAAAAAACCCATACACACTTTATTCTACAGAATATTGCCTATAACTATGCAATATGCTAGAAGTCTTATGCTCCTCCAGACCCTATTTTATGTACATGTACAAGAGAAATGTATATTTGGCAGCTGTGAAAGAATAAATATGCTAATTCACACACTGCATGTAGAAGGTGATTTATTCCATTTTTAAAGGAATATGACAGTATTTACATAAGATTTACCTGTATCTCTGCAAACAGCTGTTGTGCAAAACGAACTTTCAAATCAGGAGGAAAAATGGGCCGGGTATTTTTTAGCAGTTGTTTTGGGTTTGACAGATGAATGTTGCTTTAGTTACCTGCTGCACTTCACAGAAAAGCACAGGGAAGAGTTGGACCAAATTACAGCAG